AGAGACAGAAAAGGTGAAAGAACTGGGTCTCAAAGTAACAGTCCGCTTTAACGCTGAACAGCTGACGATAAATATCGTATTATTGCACACAAGAAAGTTAGACATATAATTATAAACTAATATACCACGTAACGATCCGAATGGACACCGGTCGAAGGCAAAAGATATCGGTAACTGCCTGGAAATTATGATTGGGCGTTTTTACATGCTGAGGATTTTACTGTTATACCTATAATCTATAATCCATCACTCGCAGCTGTAGTTTTCGCTTCAGTTTTCTACGCCTTCACTTGAAGGAGAAGAGACAGCTTCCACGGCGAGCTGGATTTTCACTGTTTACTTGCCGCGAGGTCTTTTTGCCTGCATACGCGAATGCCGCTGTTTACAGCTGTAGCCAGCCTCGTGACCTGATATGATTCAAAAACCAGTCGATGTGCTGCATTCGATCGCATATTTTCTATTGGCACTGGGATAATAGTCCATAATGACGTTTCATATGAACATGTACCCTCTCAGAAAATATCGTATATACGGGTTCATTAATGGAATGTGATTTTAAAAAATGCTTAATTTGAAAACTCACAGCTTTCTGTGCCCCTTCACAAGTTGTGGCTGCCTAAGGGGCCTGTTGTGATAGTCGAAACTTCATCTTCAATTTCAATTCCGGCTCTGCGCAGAGAGATTTCGTTTTATTCTGTCGCACAGGGTAATATCTGTTCGTTTTCAATGATGTTCGAAAGTCGATGTTGATTGTTTGCCCTCGCGGAGCATGGTGCAAATGAGTTCGTATGCCTGAGCACTAAAAGAGGTACTTAGCTCGTTGAAAGTCAGGTTTCACGGCATATTGTACCGTTGCCTAACTTGCATTCGCTTGGCAACCAGTTTCAGCAATTGCTTTATGGCATTTGAACATCTGCCATAAACAGATGAATCTCCCATCATTTCATTGCTGAACCGGTACCTAGCTTATCATCACCAAGATTTTGTTATCCACCTATTCATCTTAGAACAGGTAAGAGGAACAGGTTTGAAAGAGGCACCTGTTTACCAACATATTCCTAACCATATTCCAACTATTCATATTAATCTATATTTTGCACATAGTAAAATCATAAAGCTGAGTAACCGTTATTTATCCCTTTATCTGAAGAGTCTAAATGACAACCTCAGATGACGTGCTAAGCTGTTTACATCAAAGTAGTTTCATTTAAATATTCAAGAAGCCTTCAGCAGAACATGCCTGTCTTGTTTGCGCTGCTGATGAATTACGCTACGAAAGACGGCGGCAGGAAATGACAAAAAACCAATTCTTCACATTTTGAGTTGCTTTCATTTTGAAATTCGCCTGAAACATTAGGACCACGGTGATCGACAATCTACGTTGACAAAAAGAGAGGTAATTTTTTGGGTTGGCGACTGTCCGTCAACGGATTGACTGCAATTTACCCCCCCCC